AAAGAAACTGTGAGCCAAATATTTTGTCTAAGCAACTTTACTTCACATATGAATGCTGTAGAAAACAGTTGGAACATGCAAGAAATCAGAGAACATTGTTCCATGTGAACTTCAGTCAACCAAGAAATAATGGGAAACTGTGGCTAAGGGGACAGGTGTGTGCATAGAATATATTTAACTGAATAACTAAGACCTGCACAGATGTGTCTATTAGAGTGAGGGAATTGAATGTATATGCTTGCTAGTGTACCAATGCAGAAATGACACAAATATAAACAATTGGAAAGGGGATGAAGGCAAAAGGTGGAGGAAAGAATTAACATGCTGTTTATTTCATTAATAATAGCAGGCAACTAAAGAATATTATTTAAAGCTGAGAAATATTTAGAAATGTAAACATATTTAATCGTACAAAGACAAACATTAAAAAGATGATGAAAACTGAATGGTAGAGGAAAGGGAGGGGGAAGAGAAAATAATTTTAATGTTGTTCTTTTTACGGGATTAAGAGTTACAGTCTAAAGAACCAGTCAACTAAGGGCATACAATCATTAGGACCCAAATCAAAATTTCCTAAATATTATAAGAAATATACAGCAAAAGACAAATAAAAGTGAGTGAAAGAAAACATAGTACAAAGCTTCAAATATTATAAATATTGTTGGTGAAAATATCAAGCTGTAAAATATTTGAAGAGATTTATTCTGAGCCAAATATGAGTGACCAATGGCCAGTGACACAGCCCCAGGAGATCCTGAGAGCAGGTTATCACACTACGACTTTGTTTTATACATTTTAGGGAGACATAAGACATCAATCAATACATTTAAGGTGTACATTGTTTGGGTCCAGAAAGGAAGGGCAACTGGAAGCAGGGGCTTCTAGGTCATAGGTAGATTCAAAGATTTTCTGATTGGCAATTGGTTGAAAGAGCTAAGTTATTGTCTAAAGACTTGGAATCAATAGAAAGGCATATCTGGGTTAAGATAAGAGCTTGTGGAGACCAAGGGTTTATCATGTAGTTGGAGCCTCTAGGTAGCTGGCTTCAGGGAACAGATTGTAGATGCTTCTTATCAGACATAAAGAGGCTGTTCTATCAGTCTTAAGGTATGTGTTGATGTCAGTGCTGGTCATCTGGGCCTACATTTCAAAAGGAAGGAGGGCATGATGAGGCTTGTCTGGCTTCCTCTTCCCATCATGGCCTACACCAGTTTTTCAGGTTAACTTTGGAATGCCCTTGGCTGAAAGGAGGGGTCCATTCAAATGGTCAGGGGGCTTGGAATTTTATTTTGGTTTGCAATACAGAAAGTGTGCTGTAAAATATTATGACAGAACTAAGACTAAACATGCATAGCATATCAAGTAATGTAAATAAGCTAAACCTACCTAATGAAAGAACACAGAGCTGTCTTGGTGGAAGTGTATGTGCACATGGGTGTGTGGAGTGAGAGTGGCGAGTGCAGAGCATACAGAGTCATCTCCAACCCCCTACCCCATGGTAGAACGTGAAGGAAACCCTGGAGCAAGTTTAAGAACCATTGTTCCATCCTATCTCTGGTAAACAGGCAAGAGATTAAAGATGCAATCCAGGTTTGGGGAGCACAGATTGTCTAGAGGACCATACAACTGACAAGGAAAATATTCTCTAGACTTTGTCTCCCTGCCCTGTGGTCCTGGAGGCCCTGCTGAAGTTGGGGGAGGGGGGATATCAGAAGCCTGCCCTCACCTGTTTTCCCTACTGTTTATTAGTTTGCTGGTCCCCAACTTAATAAGGGTGTCCAAGCAGGGGATTTGTGGCCCTGGGACACAGGCTCACCTGCTGGCTTCTTCACAGAAGCATGGATGCCTGGGGTGTCAGGTGAGTGGGAAGATGTTTTAGCACCTAAGTGCCAGAGGCCAAGGGGATTTTCTCTCCTATCTCCTCCCCTCCAGGTATGAGGGAGGGAAGGTTAGCGTAAGTGGTCCCTCCAGCAGCAGCTTCAGGTGGATGGAAGGTGTCCTTTGGCCCTGAGTCACCCTTTATTGGTGTGTCCCACTGGGTCCTGGGGAATCAGCTCAGAGCTGCAAGGGAGGCTTTGGTTATCATGGTCTCACTGTTCAGGCCAAGGTGGGTGATTGGGTGTCCTGGTGGTGACTGGGCAGTGGCAGAAAACCCTCATTTCAACCCTCTTCTCTGAAAGCCACCCTTCAAGGACCCATATACTCTTACTGGGCAATGGTGGCATGTGGGTCCTCTTGTGCAGTTTTGCTCTGCTACAGGTGCCTGTCATGGGCAGAAGGAGGTTCAGGGGAGCCCACAGCTGAGTCCACCTCCACTGTCCACCAAGAGCTAGAATCACTGGGTATTGGGGGAAGTGAGGCCTCAAAGGCTATATCATCCAACCCAACCCCTTGTAGATGAGGAAGCTGGTCCAGAGAGTGGGGTCATGTGGCCCCACACACTTCAGCCTGCTGACCTCTGTCCAGTGCTCCTTCCACCACCACACACAGGCTCCCTGAGGCTGAGGTGTTTGGCAAAAGTGGGGCCAAGAGACATCAGTGCACCATTCATGGAGGCGTTAAGAGGGAGATGCTGGCCTCATGTCCAGAAGGCAGAAGAGGGTAGAACAGGGGGAGAACTAGTGTGGAGGAACTAGAGGTAGGAGGCAGCCATGGGCACTTTTTATAGCTGGGCTGTAACTGAGTTTGCCCACTTCCTTTTGATTATTTTCTGATGTTCATGGTGCTGACAAATGTGTTCGGTTCCTGCAGAAACTGCCACTGGCTTAGAAGGGAATGAAAACATGGATAAACTAGGAAATTCACGAGGGGCAGCATTCCTCTAGGCCCCGTGGTTGGAAGGAAGGAGAAGGTCAAACGGATACTGAAGGAGGGGAGGAAAGGCTTTTTTTTTTTTTTGAGATGGAATTTTGCTGCTGTCCCCCAGGCTGTAGTGTAATGGTGCGATTTTGGCTTACTGCAACCTCAGCTTCCTGGGTCTCCTGCCGGGGTTAAGTGATTCTTTGCAGTAGCTAGGATTACAGGCATGCACAACCATGCCTGGCGAATTTTTGTATTTTTAATAGAGACATGCTTTTGCCATGTTGGCCAGGCTGGTCTCAAACTCAAGTGATCCACCTGCCTCAGCCTCCCAAAGTGCTGGGATTATAAGCATGAGCCACTGCACCCGGTCAGCAAAGGCTCTTTTAATGGCAGAGGGAAGGGAACTCAGAGATGATCCTAATTAGGCCTTTTTGGCTGCATGTAGCAGGAGCACCCATGATCCACAGCTAAATTGTAGAGGGAGAATAGGTATGTGGATGCTGCTCAGCTCCAAGGAGCCCCAGGCAGTGGCTGCTGCGGTTCCTGGGCCAGGTTCAGAACTGGAACTGCAGTGCAGGAAGCCGGGGAAGGCACTCCTTCCTGTTTTCATCTCTGGTTTGTCTGTGCGACTGTTTCCTTCTCTCGCCTTGCAGACTGGCTCTCAACAGAGTATGGCCCACTGATATCATCTTTGGCTGGGTGGCAATGGGGCCCTGCTCTCTATTTCATGAGCAGGACAAGTCAGCCTTGCTGATTTATCACAAGCCCATGCTCCCAGGAGTGGAGTTGGGGGTGAGGCTCTGTTGGCCCAGCATGGGTCAGGGTCCAGGATGGTCCCATCAGCTTAGGTCATAGGTTGGGATCCCTGGACAGATATGGCTGGGGTGGATTGTGGGGGATAGAGGTGGCAGTTTTGAGAGAAAGCAGGGGGCTATTGTTGAAGGCTATTCACCTTCATGTCCAATGCAGATCCCAGATAATCCCGTTTTAACACTCACAGGGGAGCTTTTCAGAAAAGCAAGCACATGCAGGGGAAAAAAGTGGAATCTGGTTTGTTTTGTGGGCATTGTTTCTTTGACACCTTTAAAATTCTGTTTATCCATGTGCCTTTTCTGTGCATTCCAGCAAATTGCCTCGCACTGCACATAGCATCAAATATTTCTAAGGAATATCTGGTGGATTTAATAAGCAAACTAATTTGGGGAGCGTTTTTGTGACCTGGACTAGATTTTCCATTCATTTTGTCAGGCACATATCTGTTGATTCCCATTATGTACCAGGGCTCTGCCTGTAGGTCTGTCACATAAAGGCTCACAGATGCAGAGACTCCCAACTGCAGTGGTTTGCACTGCTCCAGACACCATGCTCCTTCCCTCTTGTGGCTCATGATGCCCTAGAGCACCGGCATCAGAATTACCCATAGAACTTCTTAAAACACAGGCTGCCCAGCCCCTGTTTCTGATTCAGTAATTCTGGGGTGGGTCCCCAAGAATTTGCATTTCTGACAAGTCCCCAGGTGATACTAATGCTGCTGTGTTGAGAAATCACTTCCCCTACGTGCAGAGCTGTTGCTGCCATGTCTGTGTGCACCTCGCAAGGGAGGATGAGAGAGAAAGGTCAGGGTGGCCAAACTCCTTTTAAGCATGTGGGGCTGGCAAAAGTGGTTGCCTCTTATGCCATAATCAGGAACTTGGTCACGTGGTCATGCCCTGTTGCTAAGGGGGTTGGCAAAGTCATCTCTAACTGGGTGGCAATGTGCCCTGGAAAAGTGTAAGGGCATGTGTGTGGGGACACCAAGAGATCTGCCAGAACGGGCCCACGGGATCACATGGAGATGAAAAGAGAAGGCCAGCTCTTGGTGATGGGGACAGATGTGAGAAAAGCCTCTTATGGCGCCTGGTGACAGTGTTGTAATGGCAGTTTATCCAAAGGGAGAATAGGGCAGAAGAGCATGGGTCTGCAGGCCTCGGCAGAGGCTACCCTACAAGGAAAAGCAAGCCAGGCTTGGAAGCAGGAGTGCAGTTGGCTGGAGTTGCCCATTTCCTCTCTGGAAGGCAGCCAGCTGTCTCTCCACCTGAGCTGTGCTCTTCTCAGTCTCTCATGAACTGGGAGTCTCCTTTGCTTATCATCCTTATTGTTTTATGGATTGAGCTGATGTCTTCCCAGGTCTCAAGATTTTTTTCTGCCCTGTCCCCCAGGCATCTTGTCTCTGGAAAAGGCTGCGTGGCAAGAGGCGGCCAGTGATGGCATTCTGCCTCTTGATGACCCTGTCTGCGATGGCTGTCACCCACTTTCCCCCACAGCATCCAGGCGCCAGCCCAGACCCTGGTCCCACGGAGCCTCAGGGGGTAACTGGCACCCCTGCAACCCATATCTGGCAGGCTTTGAGCTCCAGCCGGAGGCAGCAGGCAAGAAACATGGGCTTCTGGAGAGGTCGTGCTTTGCCTAGGAACTCCATCTTGGTCTGTGCTGAGGAGCAAGGCCACAGAGCGAGAGTGGACAGAAGCAGAGAGTCCCCAGGAGGGGACCTCAGGCATCCAGGGAGGGTCAGGAGGGACATTACTTGGACAGGACATCCAAGACTCAGTACTCAGCATGTTGTGCTCCTGAGGGAGGATGAGGTCAGAGATCCAGGAGCCAAAGACCTGGGCCACCCCCGGCATGGCAGTCCCACCCAGGAGACGCAGAGTGAGATGGTCGCCCTGGTTGATCCACTCGCAGGGAGCGATGTGGCAGCTTCACCAGCTTGGAGAACTACTGCTGTGCTGACACTCTGGCCCCATAGAGTGGAAGGCAGGGATCTGATGGGAACTGAGAACAGAGCCTTGACTGGTGGACGACAAGAAGAGGATCCCACCTTGGCCTCAGGGGCTCCTCAGTGGCCTGGCTCTGTTGGGGAGCTGCAAGGGTCAGTATGGTGTGGCACTGAGACCCCAGGGCTGTTGAGCAGCTCAAGGACTGGTGGGCAGGTTCCCCCATGGCTGACAGAACACGATGTGCAGATGCTTCGACTGTTGGCTCAGGGGGAGGTGGTGGGCAAAGCCAGGGTCCCCGCCCATGGGCAGGTGCTACAGGTTGGCTTCTCTGCTGAGGGTGCCCTTCAGGACGTGTCCCCTCCCAGTCTCAGCCAACTCTGCTCCCAAGGGCTCTGTGGCCTGATCAAGAGGCCTGGGGACCTGCCTGAGGTCCTATCCTTCCATGTAGATCGTGTGCTGGGGCTGCGCAGGAGCCTGCCTGCTGTGGCCCGCCGCTTCCACAGCCCCCTCCTGCCCTACCGCTACACAGATGGTGGCACAAGGCCTGTCATCTGGTGGGCCCCCGATGTGCAGCACCTGGGTGACCCGGATGAGGACCAGAACTCTCTGGCCTTGGGCTGGCTGCAGTACCAGGCCCTGCTGGCACATGGTTGCAGCTGGCCAGGCCAGGCCTCATGCCTGGGCATCCACCATGCGGAGTGGGCACGCCTGGCACTCTTCGACTTCCTGTTGCAGGTAGGTAGGGTTAGGCAGCAGGGGTAGAGAGCTGCGGAGGTGGGGGTCCTGGGTGGAGAGGCCTGAACTGGCCACCTGAGGTTGGATGTCCACTCTCCCCTGAGTCCTGGTTTTTTTTACCACCAAGCACCTGTTTTTGTAATTTTCCTGCCTCTGTTAATTTATCCAGTGGTTACTAGAGCCAGCTCATCAGCTCACAAGAGCTGATGGCTAAAATTTTCAGGAAACTTGTGACCTAGTTGTGTAACACAGGCATTATCAAAAATTTAAGTTGTACAAACAATAAATTATATTAGAAACGAAGGCAATAACTACTCAGAATGCATTATTTCTTAATTATTTTACTATTTTTTACTATTGTCTGTGCTTTTGCAGTTATTTATGTCCTTCATGTCTATATAATAAATGGTAGCCAATGGTGTGCCACTGCACATCTCCTGACAACTCCACATTTGGGCATGTTGGTGGCTTGAAATCCGTCAGGGTGTGAATATCTATTTACACCACGGAAAGCAGCAAATGCTACAAATCAGGACTCCCCTCTACTCCTGGAGAGCTGATTGTTGAACATTTACCAGCACACCACTGTTTATAACTTTACATCTTTGAATCAACAAGGATTCAAGATGGTGTATAATTTTTATGAGAGAGGGAAAGATGGAGATAGTGACAGAGAGAATGGGAGAGAAAGAGCGAAAGGGAGAATGCCTGGGCGCTGAAGAAACAGAAGGAACTGCGCTAGCTGAGGTCCCTGACCTACCAGGAGTTAACCCTGGAGTTGTTGGATAGAGGGGTATGTGGGAATCCCAGGGAAAGGGTTGGGCTGTCAGGGCACGCGGGCTGACTGGGGGACTACAGGCACCTGCTATTTACTAACTGACCTGTTAAAAACCAGTGTGGTTGTTCCGGTGCACATGAGCTGGATGTCAGTCATGGATACACAGGCATGGAAACATGGCCAGACAGAAACAAAGACAAGAAAAAATGGATAAAGCTCAGTGAGGGCGGGTGTGTGCACCAAATGCACATGGAACCAGCCCCCATTTCTGTAGAGACCCCTGTTGAAGAACAGGGTCCTCAATGTCAGCCCTTAGGGTTACCCGTAGAGGTGAGTGGACCAATATCCAATATGCTGTGTTTCATCCACATGGCATTGGGTTTATAATGTATTTTAGAAAATTCTTAGATAATATGTAATACTTCAGAGATTTACCATAAAAATCCAGCTTCCCTTGAAAAATTGGATGGTTTAGTAATACGGGTCCTTCATTCCCACACAGCAGGACATGGCCTGAGCTGAGCATCTGCTGCCCGCTTTGGAGGCTGCCATACTCTCCTTTTGGCCACAGACACTACCTCTTTATTGTCTGACACTCACCTACTGTCCTCCAGGCCTCTTGAATGTTACCCCAGTCTACCTGCAGATAACTTTGTTTCCAGTCATGGGACTAGCTGATCTCCTGTCATCCTCCCAGGTCCTCCAATCTATGTCCCTATGGCTGCTTTGTGGAAGGAGGAGTTATGGATCCTGATGGTCAAGAGCATGGGCCTTGGCATCAGACCACCCCGTCCCCAGCCCCAGGCCACTTCCCACTGTGTAACCCTGGGCAGGTTACCTAGCTTCTCTCAGCTCTACTTTTCTCACACCAAAATGGGGTTGTGCATCCCAACCACACCCCCTTGAGCCTGACCATTTAGTGCACAGTAGCTCCTGGTTGCTGGCACCTGCATCTGCAGGCTTGCTCTGCTTGCTGCACTGGAAGTGCTGGGGAATGAGTATCCTCCAAGTAACGTGACCAGCCATGCAGGTTGGGAAGGAGGGGTTTCCCAGATCCTAGGACTTTCAGTGCTGAAGCTGTCACAGTCATGGGGAAACCAGGAAGGTTGGTCATGCTGCCTCCAGGAGCAGCCTCTAATTGTGACTGAGGAGAGTAGGTGTACAGATGCCATGTAAGCATATTCTACACACTTCTCAGTTAATCTAGCAGGATTGGAGCCCAGTCAGCCACAGTGGTAATTGCTGTCTCTCTTCCCCACTCGTGTTTTTTGGAGTTAGCTCACAAAACTCACTAAACTGCTTTCAGTTGAATTCTGGTCTGTCCTCTGGGGACCTTTATCAGATAATAACACTGATCACGAATGGTTTCTGGATGCAAGGTCATTTATGTAATGTACTTGGTACAGTGCCTGGTGGATGACACACATTCAGTAATAACCAGGAACCATCCCATGTTACAGGGATTAACTCCTCCAGTCTTGATGGCAATCTACGCGTGAGATACTACACTCAATCCTATTTTAAAGTTGAGAAATTGAGGCCCAGAGAAATTAGTTTGCTTGCCCAAGGTGGCAGCTGGTAGACTGAGAAGCAGCCTGGATGGTCTGACTCTAGAGCTCACCAAATCACAGAGTGATTCGGTTGGCCATGAACATGGGCAGGAAAAGAGGATGCTTGCAGAGATGTCCTGGGGCCTCGATCTCTGAGTCCAGCTGATGTTCTCACAGCTGCTGTATGCTCCACACAGAGGCCCTCTGTTCACCTTCCAGGGTTGTAGTGTGGGACTCTTCCTCAGCTGCCAAGCCCTGCTGTGGGGACAAGTCTCTGTAGCCAAGGCACACACAGGTTGGTTGTGTGGGCAAACATGACTCCGCTGGGCTCATGCCACCTCTCCCCTGGTTTGCTGAATGCCAGTCAAGTCAAATACCCTCCGTCTGACTAACGCCAACTTCCTAGAAACCACTGGCAAGTCAGAGAGAGGCAGGGCTATAGAATGTGGGTTTTCCTTCACGGGAACCTTCTGACCCGGGTCTTGGTACAAACTGCATACAGCTTACTCTGGGGTAGGTCTGCTTGCTCCTTTGTTTGGTTTTATCCTTTATAAACCCTTGTTTTTCTGTGTACATCACCACATCCCATTTACTTAGGCACAAAGCACAAGCGCTGTACACATACACATCTCTTATACACCCCATAAAGCGTAACTATGCTTCACAAGTCCCATATAACACTCAGTATTAGTTAGTGATTGCTGAAATAACACTGTGTAACAAACCTCCCCAAAACTCAGTGCTTTAAAACGCCAGCTCTTTATTCTTGTTCCAGGATCTGTGGGTCAGTTGGGTTCAATTGAGCTGGGCTGCAAGCTGTGGGTGGGGTTCAGGTCTGCTCTCATTCTGAGGGCCAAGGCTGAAAAAAATTCACACAAAGATCATTTTGCTGTGGCTGGGTTTATTATAGTTTTATAACCTTCTGTGCTAAACCTTGACACCTCAAAATATCTAACAGAGGCAAATATAAAACCCAATCAAAAGTGTATGCTGACAATCCCAAAGCCATTTCTATTTTTATTTTACCAATAATCACAGAGCCAATTTGTTTAACATTTATTTAGGTCACATAGACTTGAAAAACTTGGACTTATTTATGAGCATTCTTGTATTTATAAGCCAATTTGGTGGACGCAATACATATGTAAATACATCAAAACATGCACACACACACACACACACACACACACACACACACACATACTCACTAAAATACAGTTCAACTGTTGCAAAGCCACCAAGCCCCAAGAGTTTCCAAACGGAAACAATCAGGATGCTCTCCTCTCTCCGTCAGTTGGGCTTGTTCAACCTGCAAATGGAAATTCTTCAGCTCCCAAATTGAGAGGAACCAATCCTACTGTCTGGTACCCGCAAAAGCCACTCACTTGTCTAGATGCACATATCAACTTTCAAAATCTTCCTATACAATCAGGAATGCAAAATACAGTCAGGCAGCAGGTTAGGAGGGCTTCTGAAACTCTCCCAGCGTGTGGCAGCTAACCACAAGCAAGGCGTTCCTGATCAGGGAACCAAACTTTCTTACTGAACACCAGGGTTTCAGTCTACACCCATTGCTTGCCTCACAGAAAGCCAGTCATTGAGACAAGTGTTGCCAGAGAAGGCTTTATTATTACTATTATTATTTGAGATGGAGTTTTGCTCTTGTTGCCTAGGCTGGAGTGCAATGGTGCCATCTCGGCTCACTGCAACCTCCGCCTCCCGGGTTTAAGTGATTCTCCTGCCTCAGCCCCCTGAGTAGCTGGGGTTACAGGTGTGCATCACCACACTGGCTAATTTTGTATTTTTTGGTAGAGACGGGGTTTCTCCATGTTGGTCAGGCTGATCTCAAACTCCCGACCTCAGGTGATCTGCCCTCCTCAGCCTCCCAAAGTGCTGGGATTACAGGTGTGAGTCACCACACCCAGCTGAAGGCTTTATTATTCTACAGGTGATGCTAGCCAGAGAGAGCACCAAACCTCAAATCCATCCTTCCTCCGTGACCAAAGTTAAGAGTTTATATAGCTAGGAAGGAAAACAGGAGGCACAAGGAAGAGGAATTGGTCAACAGGCAGCAGGTGGTCTAGCGTCATTGTAACCACATGGTGGAAAGCAGGAATTTGAGAGGGTAAGGAAGAGGAGTGGGTCGACAAGCAGCGGATACATTTCATTGTACAAACGTAAGTTTCTTAAGCTTCAGTTCTGTGGGCATCCAGCTGGTTGGAAAACTGGGCCAGTTTCAAATATGAAGAAATATTACTCCAGCGATTAGCCTACTAATCAGTTAACTTTGAGTTAAGCAAATTGGAGCTTATCCTGGGTGGGCCTGACCTAATCTTTAAAGAAGGTGAAGCCCCAGAGACAGTCTTCTTCTGGCCTCAAGGAAAAAAGTAAACAGCCACATTATGAACTAACCATGGGGAGAGGAGACCTCTAGGAGGACCCTGGCAACCCTGAGGACCTCAGTCCTCCAACTGCAAGGAATGGTATCAGCTGGCAATCTGAATAGCTTAGGAGAGGACCCTGAGCTAGATTGGGATGGCCCTGGTCCATACCTTGATTGTAGCCTGGGAAGACCCTGAGCAGAAAACCTAGCAAAAGTGTAATAGACTCCTGACCCACAGAAACTGTGAAATCATACATATGTTCTTTTAAGCCACTGAACTCATGGTAAT